GCTATTAATTTTAAAATATTAACTATTGAAAAAGGTATAAGGGAGAAAGTACAAGAGAAAGATAGATGGCTGTTAACTAAATTGTGGCAGAGTTACAAAAAATTGAGGCACTTTTACAGGATCGATGGCAAGGACAGTACTAGATTTGCCAGAGGATGTGGTTTATTAAAGTCCTTGATGATGGGAAACTTATGCCAACATTAATCATTTCAGAGTGAGGCTTCCAATACTATACTGTAGGAAATGTCCCAGTGTCTTAGACCTGACAATCTGTCACATATTTTTATTACATGTTCCAGGGAAACAAATAGCCACATTTTGAAAACCTATGTTCTTAAATTAAGAAGTACAAATCTGATTCTGCACACCAGTTTTCCATTATAGTTGTCTGGACACATGTACTGAATCAGGTAATTTGCTGTATCTAATTTTGTGTATGACACCAAACATACACCAGAGCTGGATCTTTGTCATCCCTAACTTAATTACTTTCTGGACAAGGCAGGTGATGTATTAGTCTGTTCTTGAATCACTGTTCCTGGACATTGTAACTAACAAGGATACCTAAATGCTAGAGACAGCTTTCAGGTCAGAATTTGCTTCTCTTAAATAATCTTCTTACACAGGTTATCCAGAACTCGTTCTAATTGGAGTGCCAACCTGTCAGTTTCTCTCTTGCTTGGCTAAATAATCAGCTTGAATTTAGCTGATGCTGGTACCATAACGTTAACTACTCTAAAATGCCATTCTAAATTTATAATTTCTTACAGAATCCTGCACCCAATAGAATAGCTTGGTTTAGTTTTATATCTTTGTCATATAGTCTTTGTTCCTTCAAGGCATCTTTTTTCATTTGGATTGCCTAATCTCTCCAAAATAATATTAGATCTTTCATAGCTGAACCTTAAAACCTTATGGACTTTATCACATCCTGGCTGCAGCATCCAGAGCCCTGTGGCCAGCAGGTCAAAAGAAGTGATTTCTTCACTTCTCACCCATCTTTTGTGAGACCCTCACCTGCAGGGCTGCCTCCAGCTCTGGGATGCCAAATACAAGGAAGACATGGACTTGCTCCTGGAGCAGGTCTAGGTGAGGGCCATGAAGGTGGTCAGAGTGCTGGAGACAGCCTGGGAGGGTTGATGTTGATAAGCCTGGAGAAGAGAAGGCTCCACGGAGACCTTTGCAGGCTTTCTGTGTGCAAAAGAGAGACTTTTTATCTGCAGTGATAGCATAGGGACAATGGTTTTAAACTGAGAGTTATCAGAAATTGGATTTTAGGGAGAGCTCTGTTTAGTTATGAAGGTGAGAGACCCTGGAACAGGGTGCCCGGAGAAGCTGTGGATGCCCCATCCCTGGAAGCGTTCAAGGCTAGGTTGGATGGGGCTCTGAGCACCCTGGGATAGTGGGAGGTGTCTTTGCTCATGGCAAAGGGGGATTGGAGCTGGGTGACCTTTAAGGTTCTTTTCAACCTGAGCTGTTCTATGATATTCTGTGCATCTATTAAATAATATCAATGGTTAATTTTGTAAATTTTTTGCAGCTTTGGGGGATTTTACTTGTTTTGTTTTCAGTAAAGTGCTAAAAGGTCAGTTATAAGAAATACCATCAGGGTGTATTTATTTTATTGGAGTATTCAAGTTCCTACTTCTGCTTATCTGTTCAGAACTCTAGTATGTCATCTTAACTTTTAACTTTATGTAAAAAAAGCTTAAAAGGAACAGTTCATTTGCACCCTGCATTGAATTTTGTCAGGTGTAAATTAATTCTCAGTTACCTAGAAGTTAAGCAGAAAGCATTATTATTTTTAATGGTTCTAATTTTTTAACTGATTTCCATTGAATCTTTTATTTTTTTAAAGAATAAATATATTGCATTTTAAGATCTTTTCATAGAACCACTTTCTCATTTCTACTTGGTTTTACTTCATTTTCAATTGATAGAGCTTTTTGATAAATATTCTGGTTTTTAATGTAATTTGTTTGTTAATTATGTTATAAAACTGGTGGGATCAGGTTTTGTAAACATATAATATAGTCAGATTTTCAAAGACTTGGCTTTAAAGTTTGTTATTTTTCAGTATTCATTTATATTAAACATACATATATTATATAATGTGTGTTTATGTTTGAGAAATACTAATTCTGTAACCATTAAAGCATACTAAACAACAGTTAGTGATGAAGAGCATATAAGAAAAAACAAATTCTCTTTATAAACAAATTATTCCCTTCCAGCTCAATCTTTTAGTTTCATAAGAAATGTAAATTATCTTTTATTTGTACTGTAAAAAGAAAATTACTTACAGAATTATGTTCTTTTTGTAAAACATAGCTCCAGGCATCTTAAGCTGTTCCTGACTGGGAAATCAAAAATCATCTGTTTTAAGATAATCTCTCCATTTCAAGTCATTAGTGCAGTCCTCTTCTTTTTGTATACTGGAGCTCTTGACTGCTGGGGAAATGGCTGCAAAGCATTTTTACACAGGTTATTGAGGAAAATTACAAAGTTTTTTTTTGAGGGGAATGCTTTACAATTGTGAGTTGTTTATTTTGGGATATATCTTTATTTGACAGACTTTTAGTCCTACTTGCGGTTTATTGTGTTTATGACTTTCAATACCTGTAGTTTTGGTGGTAGATGGCAGTCCATAACTCACCTATACTTTTAAAAATATCAAAAATATATACAATGGGCATCCAAAATCTACCTTTAGAGGAGAGAGAAGTTGGAACTGGAAGTCCCTATTCACTTAAATGCTTTTATCTGCAGTATAGAAGTGTGCACTACTTTTTCACTTGTAAGTCTTAAAATAGGAAGTGAGTTTGCCACATGTGCATTGAGCATCAAACCACATAATGTTGTCTAGGAAGGAGGATTTCTCAGATTCAGAGTATCTTTTAATCTTCAACATTCAGTTGTTCATAAAAGGAGTGAATTTATTGTAAGAATTGCACACTGGAAGACAGTGCTTACATCAAATTTGTGAAACAACCTCATGAAGACTCTAATGAGATTTCCAGTCAATTTGTTTAACATGCTATTGATCCATCTATTGAACATGCAGAAATGAGTTTGTACAGTTTTCCTACTAGTGATTCTCACCATAAACTTAATTTTCAGAGGAAATCCAAGGCTCTGAGCCTTGGTATTTTGAGATTCTTGACCACAGCCAACCATAAAACACACTTATGCAGTTTGCTTTTTTCTTCATATTCTCCAGTAGTGCAAGATGTCACACTCTGAAGACTCTTTGATAGTCTGTTCTTTGCATTAAACTGTTTAGCTGCTGAAATATGGGGTGTTTAAAGGTCTGTGAAAAACAGGATATCTAGAATTACTTATTAAAACTCTTGGAGCAGAAAGATGAACTCCTTTGTCTCGTAAATAAATTCATAGCCAGGCAAGCTTTACTTATTTAGATGAAAATGCTTGTTTTTCTACAAAAATAAGGGCAGAACAGTTATTGAAGGAAATGCTGCTGGCCTTGAGCAATGTAGCAGCTTTGATCTGTGCTTTAAAACCTCTATTGATAACAACTCTTTTTGCTCAGTCTGTATGCCTAGATGCAGAAGCAACATATGTCATCAAAAAGTTTTGCTTTTTCACAGAGGCAAACAGGAAGAAGTTTAAAATGTGCACTTCAGGGAAAAAAAAAAAATGAAAAAATCCAGTTGTTTTTAACCATTCCTGAAGCTAAATTTTGCTTCATACTAAAGATGCTCAGTTTTGGTCTCTGATACACCTATTAGGAACTTTCATGCCTAAAACTAAGCTATATGTGAGAAGACTAGAATAGATTTTTCAGTGATATATGAAAACATTTGAGCTATTTATCAAAACATATATATATATATATATATATATATATACACACACACACACATATATACGTATATATTTGTATATGTGTCTTAGATATTAAAAAGAGATAGCACTGCAACAGCTGTAACTGATAATTCTCTTTTGGAATTAAAGCATTAAGGGAGTTTCTGTGAATAAATAATTTTTTTTAATACTGTGAAAAGATAGTAACAATGAAATTAGGAAGTAACACAAATTGATATTTGATAGAAAAACCCCACTATTCACCCAAGACAAAAGAGGGGAAAAGCTACTCCCTCTCATTTTATAGAGGTCACTAAACTTCCTGCTTTCCAGAGAAACCTTGAGTAGAAGAGATAAGTCTTGTCACTTTGTGGTACTGTGGTCTGAAGATCACATTTAGTTTACAAACCAACAATTTCCTCTGTGTCAGACTCAGGGTTTGGTATATGTTAAATGCAAACATTTCTTACAAACCAGTCAGGTTTGTAAGAAAAACACACCAATTTTTTTTTTTCCTTTTCAGGCTATAGCTTGATAATTTCATAAGGAACTGATACAAAGATTGTCCTAAATAATTTGCACACAATATATTTTCTGCAGTAGGTAGAACACATTGTAACATTTTTTGGTATTCTTTTGCTATTTTTAAAACTTTTATTTCCACAAAAAAAACATGTATCTTTAAAAATATTTCATAAATTATGATAAAGTTCCAGCCAGAAATGGGTGAAGCCAGAGCACGAGAAAATTTGAGTGAATGTAATTTCTCCATAGCAAAAAAGACACTGTAAAATCAGCACTTGAACAGACAATGTATGTTTTTAGGTCACCTTATTTTTTCATATGAAGGTCTGGCTGAAGACTTTGTCATCCTCAAGAAGAAACACTCTTCCTCATTTCTGAGAGAGTGTCTTTAAAGGGCAAGTGATTGCCTAAAGTTAAATATATTTGACAGGTATTCTCTTTCCCAAGAAGTTCAGCTGAAACCATTAAAGAGAGGAGAAACTTACCACAATAAAAGCCCAATGAACTCATGGTTGAATACTAATATTTTCATGTTCTGTAGTAAATTGGCACAAAAGTCAATTGAAATTTTTTATGAAAGCTTGGATATGGATATACAGAATGTTTTACTAAACCAGTTAATAAACTTGTGCATTACTTCTTTCTTCCAGATGCTCCGACATTCCTGTCCAATCAAACCATGTATTACTCTTGGGAAGGCAATCCTATCAATATAAGCTGTGAAGTGCTGGCAAATCCATCTGCCTCTGTTCAGTGGAAAAGAGGAAAATTAGTTTTACCTGTAAAAAATACAACTCATTTGAAGACCTACAGTACAGGAAGAAAGCTGATTCTGGAGGTAAGATTTCAAATTGAAATCAGTCTGGTGGCAGAACATAATTTTGTCCTCAGCTTGGCAGCACTGTGAATAGTGAAGAGTGTATTTAAGGCTAAAACCTACAATTTAATAAGAAACACTCCTAAAATAGGAACAAAACAACAAACAACTATTTATGGACTGATCTATCTACACATTTCTTATGAGTAGTTAGAAAATAAATCTTATTTGAATGGCTTATGCTCAGTTTTCCAACTGTACCCAACAAAAATATAATTTGCATTTATTGGAAGTAAAAAAATCCATAAATAGATATAAAACTAAAATACCAAGGTAAGACTGAAAGTTAAAGTGACTGCCTCATAGGTGCTTGGTGTCTACAAAAAAGTTTATTATTTTGGGGTTTTTTTGTTTGTTTGGGTTTTTATAAATTATTGTTTAAAGAAGAAATTGAAAGACAAACAATGTCATGATTTTCCATTATCAGATTTATTCATTTGAAGTTGAGAAGGGGGAGTCAAACATGAAAAATGTGTATTTAGGTCTATGTTTGGAGGATATACTAGATATGTTGAAGTAAGAACACGTCTGCATATTGATTAAGGAGAGCATACTTGAATTTGATTTAAAAAAACATGTATTTAATAAGCAACTAATATTTACAAAGTGTATTCATTTTAAAGATTGCTCCCACATCTGACAGTGATTTTGGACGATATAATTGTACAGCCACAAACAGAATAGGAACAAGATATCAAGAGTATACACTTGGTCAAGCTGGTAAGTTAAAATGTTGCTTCCTTTTCTTTAAATATTTTTTCCAAATTTAATCAACATTAAGTTCAGACACACTATCCTCTGTTTATTTTATTCCATGGACTGTTTGCAGATAATTTAATTGTCTAAGAGCTGAGCTGCAATATGAAGTAAAATAAACCAGTTCTCTCAGAATATGAATCTTCTTTTGATTTAATTTCAAGGCCTTCTGAAACTTGAAAAAAAATCAGTCTAACCTTTTTTCCTTTGTTCTTACTATATCCTACATTTATAACAATCTATTTTTATTACTTCAGCAGAGAGACATATGGCTTGCAGGCACTAAAAAGTAAGAAGGAATTAGAAAATTTTTTTTTCCTTTTTCCCCCTCATATTTTCTTGATAAAACACCAATGACAAGAGACTGAAATACATCAGCAAAGAATTTCTATCTCCATTTGCTCTTCTACTTATTTAAAAGTAGAATTTGACTGGAGTGCTAGATTGAAATAATTTAAACTCTGAGATATTCTACACCTTATTGTTACAGGATGTCTGAAAATTTTTATTTCCTTCTATTGCTGTTTAGGAAAATAGAAAAATCTGACTGTATGTTTGTTCTTTGGCAGAAATAACCATTAACTGAGACCAAATGAGATTTTTTAGCACTGCTTTCAATTATATTTCTTGTGGAACGGAGTAACTCAATATATATATATTTTTTTTTTTCCTTTCTCATTAGGACACATACAAGTGAGGCTTAATGTTTTAGTTGTAAGTTTTGGTCTAGGATTTTTGTTTCGTTTTGTTTGTGTTTGTTTTGGGTTTTGTTTGTTTGTGGGTTTAGTGATTTTGTTTTTGTTTGGTTTTGGGTGTTTTATTTTGCTTTGGGGGTTTGTTTGTTTGATTTCTTTGGGTTTTGTTTGTTTGTTTAGGATTTTTTGTATTAAAGAATTTAGACTCCTACTCCAGGAGGACTTTTAGGGGAGCATTGCTGAAGCATGCACATCCAGTCACAGGGAAGATCTCTGACTTGGCCTGCTGCTATTATTTGAGAATTTTTGCTCCATAGGGCAGTTATTTTCTTTTGATGTCTCAGGAGTTATAAACCCTATTATTTATTAATATTCTCCTTGGACTTTGTACACAGTATAAAAAGTTTTTCCCATCATCTCTGTAGGATTCTAGCACACATTTCTATAATATCATAATCTATCTTTTGGTTTTGAAGAACCATGAAAAGTGCTGAGCTTCCTAAAATAGGAAAATGAGGGGTTCAAATTTCTGACACACAATTTTACATCACTTAGAACATCCCTTACCCTTCATTTTACAACTTTTTTGGGGTGTTAGCTGCGGTGTGATCTTACCTTCCTTTGACAACTGCATTTGGCCACCGACAAAAAAGCTTTTCTTGAAGCCATGAACATAAATCCCAGGAAAGGAAGGAAAATCCCCACTTGCATCCCTCTGGGGTCTTACCTCTCAGGAGAGAAAATGATGAGAAAATGTTGTGGTTGCCACTGTGTGCTGTTTTTTCATAAATGTGTACACACTTGGGAGGGCATTTCAACAGATATTCTCCAGAATGTTTTTTTTTTCTTAGATTTGCAGAACAACATCTCAAAAACATCACAACAAATGATACTACATGATGACTATTTTAGCTATGTATATATCCCCTGCTTTTATAATTTATTAATTAATCAATTGTAATAAAGAATATTAGCTTTGAAAAGTTAATTGAAAAAGCATGGAATATTTTGTCATTTTACTTCAGAAAATTCACACATGAGCACCCCTGGAAATGCAAGGAAAAACAAACAAACTACAATACTTTTTTTTGCTTTTTAATACAACTATATCAGAAATATTAGTGATGCCAGTGTTTTAAACAGATTAATATTTTCTACTTCTGCAATGTTTTGTTTATGTTTTTTCCAGGCAATTCTTCAGGAAACTCGATGAAAACTGAAAAAATATGTGTTGTAGTTATAAACATAACAAAGGGAGTGAGGATAAACAGAGTTACGGGAAGAGATCATGTAAAGCATGAGCTATCTGGGGATATTCTAGATAATGATATTAAATGCAGAAAATAGAAAAAAAAAAAAGAAAAGCAGGTTTATTAGTAGTGATAATGAACAAGGCTGGAAAAACTGGATTTGGGCTGTCACTTTGCACTGCTATGCGCTACTTACCATAGTGTAATGCATTATATTCAGTATCCTGAAAGATTGATATTTTTAACATTTGCCTCTAAATAGACTTTTGTTTTGGAATAAAACCCCAAACTGTAATTCACTGTTACAAGTTTTGCACTTAAACTGGCATCAGCTGGAAATGGAAAATTATCAGGGATACAAAGGATAAAACCACTATAATAGATGCAGGTATAAGATGACAAATGCAGCTTTGTCCCTAGTTTTATTACCTTGGTTGCTTCACTCTGGTTAATTAGGAATGCCTAATGATTGATATTTTCCATATTAAAGGCTATAAAATCATTTCATGCATTTCAATGCAGCATACTTTGCCTCCTGGCTTTGATTGTAAATACAAATGCTGGGGCATAGAATATTTTTACAAAGGCTCTGTCAAGGAAAAAAAAATACAATTCCTAGCTGGGAGACAGTATTAGGTAAAGTATGGTGCTAAGTTAAATTTGATCACAAATAATGATCATTTTGCTAAATAGTTTTCTCTTTAAATTCTGCAAGAATACTTATTCCTTCATGTTTCATTCAATTTTCTGATTTGCTGGATTTCAGCACAATCAAACTACCTTTTTATATTAATTTAATGCTACTTAGGAAGTTATCATACTGTCAAAATTCCATTTTCTTTATTCTTGTTGCCTTCCTTAAGAAATTACTTATTGATGATTTTAGAAAGGAAGATTTATTTCAGAATTGATGTGCAATTTAAAGCCATATTTTTATGACAGAAAAAAAGTATAACTGTTCACTTGGATTACAGAGAGCTACTGAATCAGACTCAATTCCATTTAAACCTCTCAAAACAACTGAGAAGCTGCAGAGTATTTGAAGTTTCATTCTGGAAGGCGATGGCCTGCTTAGAAACTTCAGAGTTTTGTTGAAAGCTTAATGAGATGTTCCCATGACCTGATTGTTGTGGTGATGAACTTTTAAAAATAACACATGGGTTACCTCCTTTTTCATTATCCAAGCTTTTAAAATATTATGCGTGTGACATATGGAATGTGAAAAGAGGCACAGCCACTTGTTGCCACTGCAAATTAGTTTTTTTCATGTCAGCACAACAGCCACAATTTGTATTTTAGAGCTTTACTTACACTCTGGTTTTAATCTAAGTCAGGCTTACATTTTGGCAAGCCAGGTCAGCTTGGCAGGTTGTCCCAATGGTCTCAGAGGCTGAGGTGAGCACAGATATTTCTAAGATTTGTCCAAATCTAGTTTATGCATAGTTTATGTGAAATACAACCATGCAGGGAACCAGTATGAACTAGAAAAGCATTCTTCTGTGTCTTTGAGATCTCAGTATAATTATTTCAAATGTTTTGTGTACGTTAGTAGAAAGACACATGGCCATCAGTAATTTAGGATCATGTTATTGGAATAGGTATTTTAATATCTTAAAATGGTAAATTTTAAGGTTATTGCAGAGATCTAAATGAGAATTTTGAAGGTTTCTCTTTTCTTAAATATTAATGTAGATTTTTTACATAGCTGAATGTATAGCTGGACTGAATATAGAGCCCTAAAAAGTCAACTGTGATTCACTTTTATGGATCTCATAGCCTTACTCTTCCTAGACTTTCCTTTCCCCTTCTTCCTTGTATTCTGGGATGACATAAGATTTAAAAGTTCTGCTGTGGTTAGGAGCAGTTTTCACTACACCAGGGTGCTCAATGTCCTGCCCAACCTGGCCTTGAGAACTTGCAGTGATGGGGGGCATCCACAGCTCCCCTGAGCAAATGGGAGATGCTACATCTGCTAGAGATGTATGATTTATCTTTTTCCTTTCTACAGGAATATTACAGGTAATTAAAAACAAAAAGTCAATGATGCCATTAGATACTCAGAACTCCTACACCATTTTATTGAATTAGATATTCTTTAAGCATCCTGTGCACACAGAAAGTCAGTCAATATGGGGAGTAATGACAACAAAAGCAAAAGGGAAAGACCATAATTGAGCTTCACAGAAAATGCACCCTGTAGCCTCTTTTATGGAATAAAGTCATGCCCAAAATATGAAAAGGCTGATTGACAACTGACAAAGGCTACCAAATCAAATGTAGAAATTTACTTGTCTGTAGTTTTGATGCTGGCACTTTGCTGCTGGTTAATGGATGTTCCTTATTTCACCAAGTATTTGCATTTCCATGCAGGTAAAATAAAATCAAAGTCGTAGGACTTAATTTTCCATGGAGAATAGTATAATGAAAAAGAAAATCATATTCTGCCAAAAGCCCATTTGTCTCCAAAAAGACCTAAAATCTAGCTTGCTGTTCTAAAACTTGCCATTCACATAATAGCAGCATTAGGTAAAGGATTTTTATTGAAAAATTAACCAAAAAGCAACATATTTTCAACTAGAATAGGTATGAAACTATCAACATAGCAGCAGTGTTTTGCTTTGTGTGCATGTGTCTTATTTTAATTTATTATTTATGTGTTTATTTGCTAGCTGTGGTCTTACTAACAGAATTTGGTTTAATAACCGAATGCTTATTTTTCCAGAACTCACAGAGATTTGGCAAAAGAAATATATGTAGATCCAATATTGAGATTTTTTTTTTTTCCCATTCTAAGGATGTACAAGCACAAGCTATTTCATAGACATTTTTGAGTCCAGAAGCTCATCTGGGGACTAGACTTCCCAGCTCATCTCTTTCCTTGCCAAAGCTCATCTCTTTCCCTGCCAAGGTCCTGGTGCTATTTAGATTCAGCATTTAGACATGGTTATTTTCAGTCAATATACATGCCAGATGTACAGAAAGAGGAAAAGCTGGAGAGCTGCAGTAGAAACATGCTGACAGGAGACAAGAGCTGACTGGAAGATCAATCCCTGAGCCCACTACCCACTCTCACACAATCACTTCCTTTTCTGTGTTTATACCAAGGCTGCTAAGCTCTTGAGAGGGAGTTATGTTCTTCCATAAAGCTATCAAAAACTAGCTTGAAAAAAAAATCCTCAGTGATAAAAAGTGGTCATTTATTGAACACTCTTTGTTGTGTTGTACGGGACTTTACACATCAGTGGAGGCAAATATGAACTCATAATTCTGTGTGTACTTCTCTATCAGCTGTGATAGCATTTTTGGAACCAAACCAATTCTATTTAGGCCATTGTATCTCAAATTCCATTTGTGCAAACCAGCGTTATGTGCTGAGTACAAAATAGATGAGGAGCAATTTTACACCTATTGTTTGGAGGAGATACTATGTGGTTTTATTTGATTCTGGTCGTGTTCCAATGTGGGGAACTGCAAGGAGTTCTTTTAAAAATAGATGGTCCAGAATGAAGTTAAGTCAACTGAGACAACATTGTACCTGAGAACTGTGTGTTGGTACCAACTAACAAACAAACAAAATACAGAACTGGTGTACTAAAGAGGGCTAGAAAAGACAGAAGGAAGGAATGGAAATGGATGGATGGAAAAGGATGAATGGAAATGGAAAAGGATGAAGGTGAGGCAGGGGGAAGAGAGAGAGAGAGGAGACAGAGACACAAAGCAGGCATTAGCACCAGAGGCAGGGACGTGGGGGCAAAGCAGGCAGGGCTCTGGTCAGGAACACGGAGGCAGGACAGACACGAGGTGACCAAAAGCCAACAAGGGCAGGAGAGCCAAAAGGCAGGCTGAGGCCAGGGCAAGAAGCAAGCATCAAAAGACTGGAGCCAAACCAAAAAAACCAAGACCAAAAAACCCGCAGACTCAAAAATGCCAAACAACAAGGCACAAACAGCTTTAGTTAACAAGCTCAAAGCTAAAAAGCCCCCAGCTAAAAGACAGGTCCCTAAAAGCCCCCAGGAACTTGTTGAGGAGTCACTTTTATACCCCCTGTCTCCTCCCAAAGTCTCTCCTGCTGACAGGAGACCACTGGCCCAGTCCAGCCTTCCACTGCAGTCTATTCCTGGAGCCCTTTCACCACTGATTGGAGAAGCCTCTCTGGGGAGTGCAGCATCCTTGGTGCTCTCCTGCTGACTGCCTGTCCCATGTGAGGTGTGAAATAGTGACCAGGCAAAGCCTCCCCAGAGACAAGGGGAGACTTTCCTCCATCTTCTCCTGGCTGCCTCCAGCAAGTGGCACATGTGCACCCCTGCCTAAAAAACACCTCTGACAACCAGTATTGAAACAGAAATCAAAACTAAATTGTCTCCTCACAGTTCTTTAATATCATACATAATATCATACATAAATATAGTCACATTTTGGACAGAGAAATAAATGTTGTGGAAAGATGAAGCTGACAAAATGTCTGGCATTTGTTGTGACTTTTATGCCTTTAATTTAAAGGCTGAGTTTGTGATGAATTTTCTCTTTTTTTGACAGCAGTATAATGACAAAATATATAGCAGTGGAACTTCCAAGGATGTATTCTGGAATCTTTGCTATCACTAAATGATCATTAAATCATAGAAAGTAAATCCCCTCTTTTTTTCCACTTTTTAGTCCTTCAACTTATATGTACAAGAGTATATGAATTAGTGATCACTGCCTGCAGCTAACCTCCTCTGAGATTCATTTTGTTGGTTGGTTTCAGAATGAAAAAGAACAAGAAAAATCCAAATCTCTATCCTTCCAGGCACAGACTTCAGAGTACACAGTATTGCAAATTATTCTTCACTCCTGCTAAACATTGATCCAAAAGCCTTGCAATTCTAACATGAAAATCACAGCAATGCTCCAAGTAATTAGAACTGACAGGGGACAGTTCAAATGCAGGAATGTTTAGCTGGATGAGGAACAGAAAGCTGTATACCTTGCATGATTAAATTCATACTCATTAGAGAACCACAGAATTTGATTCAATTCATTATGCTGTTATTGATCTTCATTGGGGAAAAAAGTTACAGATCTACCTAGTTGGAAATAGATAGTAGGTATTTTGATATATCTTGATGGTATTTCTAGTATTTAGTTTTGGTTTTCACCAGGAATGTATCTCATCTATATTTTCTTCAGGTGATTTACTTTCTTCCTTACAACTGATATAGTTCAACTTTGAAAACTGCATAAAATTTACCTGCGTGTGTGGGTGGCTTGGAATGTGAGATGCATATTTAAAGTAGTGTTGTGTATATATTTTACACTTCAGTGAGTTCCAAACATATTGCATTGTGCTAGTTACACAAAATATTGTACTGGGTTTTCAAAGGAGCTTCATTTCATGCTTATTATCAACTGGAATCATATCTTCCTCTGGCAGAAATTATACTAGAATCTGCAGTAGCACACGTAAGATTCTTCCTGAAGGATTTCATCTTCCCTGTGCCATGCTTATTATAGTTAAACACATACAGACTTTAACACACAAGGAAGAGAAGTCTCCTTAACATTTGGAAAGCCAAGAACAGAATGGATATGTAAATAATATTTTTGATTCATGCTATAGACCCAATAATTGTTTTGATGCAGACAGAATCACCAGGGAATTGGCTTATTAAAAATATAATCCAAAAGCTAACATAAAAGTAGTATGAATGAAATTAGGTATTCGTTCATCCCCTGGTTTTGTTTGTTTTATTTTGAACAATTTTAATGAGCGAAAAAGAATTTTCAGAAGTTTAGGAGCTATTTTTTATACTGTTGGTATCCACAGCAGCTTTTAGCTTGTAATTGAATCCAAATGTCATTCATCTTGAGTACTGATATTCATCAGTACTCCAGTATTGATCACTTCCCAAGTGATGGTGTCCACATGGCTCATACAGTTCCATTCTGCTTAGGTGTGGCTGTCCTGGATTGCTTGGCTGGGATTCTTACACTGTATTTTTCCCACTTTTCTCAGAACTGCCATTTGAGCTCAGGAGAGAAGGCATCTGTACACAGAGTGGTGCTTATGCACTTAATGACTATATAGGGAGAAAAAATGAGTATTTCTCTCAGCTCTAAGGAGAATCTGAAGGATTGGCCACAGTTTGGTTCTAATCCTCATCCTCTTTTGATTTTGGGGTGAATACTGATTTAACAACCAACTGACATTCTTTTTCTATGTGGTGAAAAAAAACAGTCTGTATGTTTTTTGAACATAATTTATTTTTTCTAAAGACTCCCAACTTTTTGACCCATTTAGAAAACAATCCAAAAACCAGGTCTATGTTTTCATGTATTCATGGCAGACTGGTTACACTTGGTCATGTTCTATCTGATCACAGATCTTCAATCCATTTCTAAGAAATGTGAAAATTTCTTGCAAAATCCCATATCCTGATAATTGTTCTCTGGAATAGGAAAGGATTTGAATCCCTCGAGCTGAGACTTGAATTCTACTAAAATCTGTAATATAATGGATTCACATAGTTGTGTCTTTAAGTAAGAGATCTTACAACTTTCTTATCCATATAAAAATATCTATGCTGGATTTAACCCTGTGAACTGCAAGTTTTGGAGGTTTCAGGAGACCTGGAATCAGAAATGGCAGCTGTAAGAGGTGTGATATTTGCATAAAAACACTCAAGTCTGACAACTGACAGAGATGTTCTTCTGAGAAAAAGTTTAAGTTTCTGATAATTAAAAGGTTATATAAATCAGTGCCTTTAGACCAGATTTGGCAGTGTCCTTTTCCTGAGAATTTGTGACTGAATATGTCATTAAATCTGTTCTTTAATATTTTGTACAATTTTTTGTCTCATTTTCATTCAAGTACCAATGCTGGGTGAAGCTCAGATTGATTTCTTTTTATTCATCACTGTCTGACAGCCTTTGAATACAGACAATATTTTATGTAAATGGTTCATTACCCACTAACTGAATTACAGGCTTTGGCTCAAATTCTGGCATGTCCTTACAAAAATATCTTTCATAACATGGAGACAAAAGCAATGTCAAATCTAGAACAAGGTATGCAAATAATTTTCAAATGGATCAGAAAGCAAATTTTTAATGGTGTTTCAAAACCCTGGTATTCTGTCTACAGAATTAAAATTCTTCCTGTCATTTTCAATACCACTTTTTATAATTATAAATTTTTAAAATGTAGAACAATTAGAAAAGCTAGTCTTTTGACTTCTATGTGTTTGATCACAAATCATAAAGATAATATATTTCTATTCTTAAAGATGTACTAACTCCAATGTTATTTTTTGCTTTTGTTTCATATGTAGCATATGAAACAAACACCTACAAACACCTGATTTATTTTCATAGATCTTTTCTACTTTAAAAGATATACTCTTGCTTTTGATTCCAGACAAAATATTTCTTTCAACCTAATTTGTAAATTAGTTCTCAAGCTGAGCAGAGGATAAGAAACCTTCCATTAATGTATTTTCTTAGTAGCTTGAAATCTAGCCTTTGAAAAAAAAAAAAGAAAAAGAGGTTCTTGTATTAACCTGTGTTTCAGAATTCCATAAAATGGCTAAATTATTTATAAGATTCTTTGTCATAAGCTTATTTAAAAGAATTTAGACTCTGAATGATTTAATTAGCTGTAACTGTTTGTTTTGTTAAATTTGATATAAAGTTTGTTATTCTCTTTTGCATAATTATACCGTCAAGAGTCTGATCTCTTACATTTTTATATGATGAAAGTAGCTATTAAGAAAGATCATATTATAAAAGAAAGGCAAAAATGCAAACTGTTTTTGCAGTAATTTAGCATACAAGGAAATAATGTGGTTTTCTTACAGCTCTGTAGTAGAAAGCTTAAGTTGTTTATGTAACACAAATATTATTCCACCATATTCAATATTATTTTTGGGAGACTCTAAGGAGACTTTTTTGGGCAGATGATCACCTGCTTAGGTCTGCGTGGTTGTTGCTGATTTTTAAACTGTGTTTGTGCTTTTGCAGATGTGCCATCAAACCCGTATGGAGTGCGAGTTTTAGAGCTGTCCCAAACCACTGCCAAGGTTTCCTTCAATAAGCCAGACTCTCATGGAGGTGTGCCCATTCACCACTACCAAGTGGATGTGAAAGAGGTAGCCTCGGAAACCTGGAAAATAGTTCGCTCCCATGGAGTTCAAAGTAAGTATACAAAAAATAAATGGAAGCATTTTAGCTGAGAAGAATGTCCAAGGAAAATACTGTAAGTACTTCTCAGCTGTTTATTTGTTTGTCTTTTTCCAGTTGCTGCATCTCTGTATTAGTGCAGAGTTTCTAACACCAGTTAGAAATAGTCCTTCAACTTTGTAACTGTTCATTTTTATATTAAAAATATTTACAATTATTATCCATTTTTCACGTCCAGCCAAAAGCCAGCCTTTGAGGCTATGCATTTCAAAGAGAGTAAAAATAACATTGCATTTGAGAATGTGCATTATGTATGCACCTAAATGAATAATTTTAAGTAAGCTGTTATATAATATTTAATCCTGGGCATTAATTACTGATTGTGAGCTACTTAGTAACTGTCTACATACCTGTTAATATTCAAGATACCTGTTTCAAAAGCATATGATGTGTGTTCAAAGAACATTAAATGCCCTCTAAAAGGATATTTACTTGCATGTCTCTTGGCAGAAAAGAGCATAAGCCTGCCCAAACAGACAAGAGTTCTTCAGGCCCCTGATGCGTTGGGGGGTTCATACAGAGTAACGTTAACTCGTGTATCCAAATATGCCTTTTGGTATTTTCAGTGCTACTTAAGACAGCCTCAGCATTTTCTGATTAAAGTTCAGCAGGTGAATGGTTTTGCAGCAATCAACAGAGTCACAGGAGACAAAATGCTACAAATCTAAAGCATGTTCTCTTTCACATACTATAATACAAAAATTCTGCATTAAACTGAACATGTTCAAAATTACATAATTATTTCAAAGAAACATATAATGAACATTTAGTTAACATGTTAGAAAAAAAGGTTTATAACTCCTTATCTTTTGTTTTTCTTAGCTCAACACAGTAACTGTGTGTATAAATGTAATAATGTAAATCATAGCAACATTCATTTTATTCCAGTAAAGCTTGAATTTCTCTCAGTGCTAGAAGATCTAAAGAAGAGTGTGCCTGCCCTCTATTTGCAGAGCAGGCACAGTAATATATATTGTTGTATTTCCATTTTTTTCATGCAATGTTGCAGATCAAGTTAGAGACTTTTATTCTCATAGCTACTTCCTTCAATGAATTTGCAATAATTGTTTTCAGATATGAACTATATCAAATGAGTAAAACCTGAAGTGACCAGTCTGCATAGTAAGGTGCAAGGTACTCAAGTGAGTGAAAACTCAGTGATTACAGATCAATCAGTCAATCACACAGATGACTGATTTCATTGTAAAGCCAGAAGAAACACACATCCTCAGTGTTAGATTTGCAAGAAACATATTCACCTTACCCCCTACAAAACTTTCTTTCATATTATTTCTGTTGTTGGGAAGTTTATTAAAATATTATTTGATTGCAGTAGGAAAGATGTGAAATTTCACAGACCCGTGTTACTAGAGCTGACTGGAGCTGCCTTCTTCAAAAATTAATTTTCTTTTTGAAACATTATTTCAGCATTGAGTGTTGTTGCTCACTTTGGAGATTTCTGTATAACGTGAATTGATCTTGGAATCATTTTGGTTCAAGACTTGTTTGAATTCTGTGGTTCTAAAATTGGAGAAGAGTGACAGGTACAAATACCTGCAGTCTTTATGCAAATGGTATGACCATGAAAGAGACTGTCAGCATTTAGAATCTCTGCTGCCACTCCTACTCATATTAAATATTTCTTTGGCAGAGAGCTGTATTACTTCCTGCATGCTGTTGCATTATTTCCCCACATCCTCCTTTGTATACTTTACTCTCCTTTTTCTCATGGACAATTTCAGGAGGTATACCATGTTGTAAGCATGTTGTCCTCCTCATTCCATTGTCTCCTAATTGTATGCTGAAAGGTTTTGTTGAGAAAAAAACTAGTTCAGACCATTTTGGACATATTAAAGATACCTTTTAATAGCATATGTTACCAAAGATTACTCCAAGTGATGACAAAAACTAGTAAATATGAATACAACCTGAAAAGCCATCTTTGTCTACAAAGAGTCATGTAGTAAATACATAAATATTGAAAGGATGGTAGGGAATATTAAAAATAAATACTACATTCATTATTAATTCATGATGTTTTCTGAAATCTCTACTGATATACCCCTGTGTAGAAAGATTGAGACTATATATCCTATATTTCTCTGAATTGCTCTCTGAACTATTTTAGAAATCAATAACTACTTCAGATTGTCAAACATTTACTAAACAGAAGACATCTTGTTTTCATAAATCTTATTGAAGATACATTATGTAGTTGTATAGGGAAATCAAAAGTGACCTGGTTTCATTGATCGTAAGTCCCTGCAGATATTCTATAAAAAGTTGAAAACTTTTTCTATTTGTGAAGTACTATAGGGCCAAACCAGAAAACCAAAATATGTTACCAAAGCACAAACATAACAATCCAGGACAGAAAAGCTTTTGCAAATGTAGATGTCAAAAACAAACTTAGTGTCCTTTCTTAAAAAGGAAATGCTGCTAAATTTAAATTGAATTCTTCTGGAATATTGAGCCGTTGCATGTTTCTTGGGCATTTAGAACATTTCAGCAATTTTCCTAAAACATCCATTTAAAATTCTCTTCATTTATATTTCACCCTACTTTCAGTGTCATGTTAAGATAACCTTGAGATACCCTCTCCAAAATCCCTGTTTTCTATTCCTGAAATATTTTTCAATGAAGCAAAAGCTTCCTTGTGTGAAGCTCTATTAGTGTCAAGGTGCTATTTTGTTTTGTTTTCTTTTGCTTTTTTTCTTTCAGCTTTTTGAGACATTTAGGATAGTTTATTAAAGGATAATAGCAAATACATGGCCTTGGGACAGTTTCTGATTGTGCTTAAGTAATGAAGAACCACTTTCCTAGCATGCCTCAACATCATCTCAGCTAAGAGGAGGATGTTTAGAATGCAGTCAGTTTTCTGCATTACCATTTGTAGTTGGATCATCATAATTTTCACACTCATTCAATACTCCTTAATGGAAATAAAACCACTTTTTCCATCTGTTCACATTTTAGGAATGGTTTATGGCTAAGATTCAGATATAAATGCTGTTTACACAGGGACAGATAACTGCTTGCACATCTCAAGTGGTAGTGCATACATAATGCATGGGCCATGATATATTTTCCCAATAGTAAGTGACAAAATATTCTGAAATTTAACAGGATGGTTATTTATCAGTCAGATTTAACTCAGGAAGGGTAAAACTGCAGACCTTTCTTGCCACAATGTACAAAATGTGCCAATTCCAAAAACGCCATCAAGGGAAAAGAGACAGAAAAATTTACATGCAGGAAGATGTTGTACCTGGAAGACTCAGAATTCCAATACAGGGATTTTCAAGGCTAAACTGTCTTCTGCTCTCTCTCTACTGTGACTCAAAGAAATAATGTAGCTGTCCTCACACAGTAACAAAGAACAATCATAAAATTATTGAAAAATGCATTTTAAAATTAAACAAGCCTCACAGAAATGTGGCTACAGAAGCAGGTTTCTAAATAAAGCATTAATAGGTGTTTCAAAAAACTTTTTTGGGAATAATTGCTCCTAATGCTAGCAAGGCATTAATTTTCATTTGGTTATGACCCAATAGCTATGTATAAAACCTTTTACAACTAAGATTATAATAGTTTTATTTGTATGAAAACTAAGATAGATGCTTATAAAAGTTGTTAGGTATTCTGTAATCAATTATGCAGTAAATACAAATAAGTTTAATCAAGATGATTAAGCAGTATGAAGTGGATTCTATGTAAATCCAGTCTGCATTTCTCTTCATTTTCCCTCTTCTTCAAAAAATCTCTCTAAAGGTGACTTTTGTCTCAAACTTTACTACTTTGAGCTGTTTTCAGGTAAGGAGAAAATTCTAGTCTTGGAGCTATAACCAGGAATATCTATTTCCCTGTTCTCTCCCCTTTGTCTTTTATAATGAAGAAGATTTCATTTGAAAGTCTGTGCTGATTGCAGCTATTGAAGCAGAGCACAGAAAGTGAAGCAATCATCTGATACACCAATTTCAGTCTATTAAGGGATTTAAAATCATAATCAACACTCTCATAATTCAGCAAGAGATCAGGGAGCAAATGGCAGTGAGATTTTTCTGCACTTTTTAGGTGCTCCTCTGAATATGAAATTAGTTTTGTTGAAGGCTACCAGCAAATCCAACTTTACAGTGGAGTTCTCTGTGGACCAGAGTCCCAAGGGGAGGTGAAGTGAAAAGAAAGAAGTGAAAAGAAACCCAATAATCCTGCAGTAGGAGAAATACAGATAGTTGTAAGAAGATTAGTTCTCCAAGGAGAGTTTGCATCCTTTCACCCAGACAGGTGGAAAATCCCTGAGTGTAGGAAGGTGCCCATCCACCATCAGCAAGTGGATAACCAAAGGTGAAGAGCATTTGCCAGACTTTCCTCAGTATTCCCAAAGAAACCAGTTACAAGATGTAAGAGATACCTGTGTTGGGAAAAATCACCTTACCACAATCCTCTGTGCAATTCTGTTTTTAAAGAAAGAACAACTGATCTGTTTCTGTCTAATCAACAAAGAATTTATAAGAAAAAGCCTCCTTTATTTTTCCATTTTGTGCAATATTTACTTCCAAGGAAGAAACATGATAGAGTCTCTGAAATTCAGTTCTTCACGTTCAATCCCTCAGAAAGCAACACTAATTTAACTCTAAAAGAGAAGCTATCAAGGTCTTGTTTTGTCTTGATAGCATTATAGACATTAGTAATTCTGGTTTACAGGCAGCAGATAATGCATTTGTAAAAATTAGCTTTTACACAAATCCAAAACATTGTGGAAGTTGTTTGAAACCTGAAAAATGTGCACTCTCTGAAAAAATTTGAATGTCTTCAACAGGAATACAAAACTTTTTATTTCCTTTGTTCTTCAATTTACAGGTAGATAAAGATTTTTTTTTTCCAGAACATTATATGTTTCTGAGTGAAATATGAAGAAAAAGCAGTCTCTGCATTTCTTGTGCTGCTCAATTTGC